TGTATTTGAATTTGATGCAAAAAAAAAAAAACGTTGAATTTGCTATATCAAATTCAAATTTCCTTGAGTATATTCAAATTTGATGTAATAAATGTTAAAATTCCTACATCAAATTCAAATTTTCTTGCTCCCTTTTCTTGTCATATTAAACTTAAATTTCATCGAACATGAATTTATCAATCTAAAGCTAAATTAGATAAATGACTTACCATTAAAGAGCTATTTAAATCTAGTTTCTAATAAAATAAAACCATTAAATTTTTATATTTGTAAGGCTATGATCAAAATTGTGAACAAAGGTCGTAAATGTCTTAGCTTTGACCTTTGATAATATTTCACAAATTATAAATACTTTTAAAAGTGAAACTTGTTTGATATAAATATAGACTCAATAAGCTTTTTCATGACATCTATCTAAATAATTTACTTTTTCTCACTATTTTAAAAATAAATTTTAAAATACAAAGAGTTTTTGAATGGCTCTTGCTGTATTAAAAATTAATCTTGAAGAGTTTTCCAATGATAAATTATTTGACCCATTGAAATTTAAATTAACAAATATGTGCCATCTAAAAATTTACATTTTAGTTGACTTTATTTATGTTCATTCAGATTTATAAATTGCGTAGTTATACTTTCTCCCTTTTTTTAGCTCGTGAATTTATTTTTATTTATCGGGCAAACTTCTTTATTATATTTTATTTATATTTTTTATTTATTTTTTCAATCATATAATATCTCTAGTTATTTTTATATTTATATTGAATATTTATATTTATTTATATTATAATATATTTTTATTTAATTATTTTTTGAATTATTGATTTTTTAGTAATATTATTATTCTATAAGTTTAAAAAAATTTATTTAATAATATTATATTCTTTCATTAAGGATAATACAATAAAATTGTATAATTTTTCAACTCATTTTTATCCAACCAAACGTAAAATTTTCTATTAACCCATTTTCTATTCCAGTCCTTACCAAACATGCCATCACTTAGAAATTTTTCATTCCATTCCATTCCTTTCTGTTCTAACCAATTCTTTCTACCAAATGGGTACAATTATATTATATTATAAGTTTATAAGCCCTTCTTCCTTTATTATAAAAAACAACTACCAAAATCACCTGGTTCTAAACGTTAATTATAGTTAGTTAAAAGTAATAAATATGTAATATAGTAAATATGTTTTTAATTATACCCTTATTTATAGCGAGTGCATAAAAAATAATGAGTGGATATTAATTGCACAAATAATAAGTAATATATGTTTAATGGGGATAAAAGTAAAATGACAGGTTTAAAATTTCAAACAAAGAGAATTTAGTTTTTATATTTAGATACATTATCATGAGATAATGCTTTTTATTAAAAAGGACAGAGGGAGGTAGTAATTAATAGAAGAAATTTTAAATTAAAATCTGCGATCATGCCGCCACTGTCAGAGCTTTCAAATTTCAATGCCATTTTGGTAACCAAGTGGGTCGCACAAATACATCTTAACTCTGCGTGTGTGTGTGTGTGTATTATGTAGGTATATTTATAAAATATAGACTCACACAAATTAAATCATATTTTCTTAATTACTATACATATTAATATAGACAGTATCTACATCTATCTTTGTGGCCCATTTTATAGTCATTGGAAGTTTAGAGAAATCAATAAGATGAGAATGAAATGAACATATTTGGTTTGCAAAGATATAAATCGACCCCCACTAGATCGTGGGAGTGCATGTAAATTCTCTTCCCAGTACAGAAAGTAGAGGTTGTGTGTGTAAAATTCGAAACAGAAAGCATCTATTAACATTAATTATTTATGTTGTTAGCCACTGCTACCAAAAACAGATACTACGCGTGGGTCCTTTGAAAAGCTGACATAGTATCTCTACTCTATGCAGATAAAAAATAAAAGAGAGAATGAAGAAATTACAGTCTTATTTGATTTCTTATTTTAGAAAACTTTTTTTCTAAAAATAAAAAAATTGTTTGGTCATTTGTTTTTAATTAATTGTTTTCTAAAAATAAAAAAACAAAAGTATGTTTTTAAAAACTAAAAAACCAAAACAATTCTTAGTTGTTTTCTTTTTCTTTTTTGTATTTCTTATTTTTTGTTTGAGAAAATTGAGACATCATTTCTTCTATATTTTGTGAATTTTTCTCCATTTGAAAACTTGAGTTCTAATCAAAACTCTACCCCTTGATCTTAGTATGTTTCTCTTCAAATATAAAATTTTGAAAAAACTGCAAATAAAGACCCTTAATATATAAAATGGCAATTAGGGACCCTGAATTTGGAAAATAGCTGCAAAGGACCTAGTCCCAAATTGCAATTATGAAATGTGTGTTAAATGGCTGAAATACCCCTCACTCATCCTGACTCTTAATGAAGGCAAAGACAAGGATTTTTATGCGTGGTGAGAGAGCTGCTAGAGAAAGAGGACCCCAACGTGTTTGTGTGATATTAGGATGGAAGATCTTCCAACATTGGCAATAATGTGAGTAACTTACTGACTAAACTATTCTTCTATTCTTTCCTGTAAGAGTTGCACATTGTGATATTCTTCATCTTCATCTCTACTGTGTGGGTGGGTAGGTTGGAGGAAGGGAGGGAATGGGAGGTGTAGTTGAAGATGAAAGATATCACAATATAGGAGGTTGTGGTTAGTTGGAGGTGGGATATTTTTGTTTTTGCAGTGTGATTGGTCATCTCTCATTTGTAGTGCATGGTGCTGGTTACGATGGGATAGTTAAATATATTGGAGGGAGTGTAAGGGTAACCAGTATAAAAGAATGGATAACAGTTGAGGAGTTGTGTGGAATAATTTCATAGTAGATAGGCGATGATGGTAGTAGATATCAGATTAAGTATAAAGTTAAATTTGATGAGAGTACATTGATTGGTCTTTGTGATGATGGTGATATCTACAACTTGTTTAGATATAATGACAACAATGCTCATGTGTACATAGGAGGGAAAGGGAATGACAGGGAAACTAGAGCAATGAATGATCTAGACATGTAAGTGGTTATGTTTTCATATTGAATCTTGTTATTTGCTAATATATTGTTGCTAATCCGTATAGAAATGTTGTAACCAAGCTAATGGTGTTGCAGTCCTAAATTGTAATTTGTAAATGCAAACATCTTATTCAACATAGTTGACATGTCATTTCCATTTGTAAATTTGTCTTTTAGAAATACAGACTTGTTATTAGACATAAATAGTAGTTTCTATATGTGGACTTGTTATTCAGCATATTGAAGTTGTAATTATCATATACGAACTTGTTATTTAGATTTGCATATGTTATTTTACTGACCAGTAGTTTTTATATGGAGACTTGTTATGTGAATAACTCAAGTTGTAATTACCACATGCGGACTTTTTATTTTAGCAACCAATAGTTTGTAGATATAGACTTGTTATTTTACTTACTAAAGTTGTAATAAACTTATGCGGACTTATTATTTAGATATGTAGACATCTTATTTTATTCAAACCTGTTATTTGAATATAGCCATCCTAACTTGGTATTATTGTGGTAGGAGTGGGAATTTATTGGGACTCTCAAAAGACATGATGCATTTGAAACGACCATTGGTGATGAACATGAGCCAGTGAATGTTGAGAATAGAGTTGAATGCTTGACTTTTTAAGGGGGTGGATCAAGTTAGAGAAGTAAGTGTAGTGGTTTAGAGAGTCAAAGAACACTGATGGGCAAGATGAATTATATGAAATGGGCAAGAGTGTTTGTAGGAGTGGGTCAATATGCTCCACATGCTGTTGCCTTTAAGGAAGCTATGTACAGGTTTGATATTATAAAGAAGTTTGCAGCGAGATATGTCTCATTTCTCACATTCCCATTAAAGTCGGTTTCATGCCATTTTGGGTTCCATGCTTTACTCACACCTTATGCTTATCAATGATGTCTCATTTCTCACATTCCCATTACTAGGGTTTCAAATTTTGAGATGTTACAACTTGCATAGAATTGAGGACATTGAACTTTCGGGTCTTTGGTTCGAAAGCAAAACAGAACCAATGCTCCCCAATTAGAGCAAGACCCAAAATCAAGTCGCAATCACTTATGTTGTAGCCAACGTAATACAAAAGTGTTTGTTGTGCATGTTGGCTAGGATCCCAACGAGCTAGATCACAGGCCATTATGGCTTGTGAAATGCACAAAACCAAGTTGTTATTCATTGTAACACACTTTATTCTGTCATTTCCATTTACAATCTTGTAAATCAACAAAGTATATTAGTAATATAGAAACCTCACCATGAAGTTTGCATCAAATATATGCCTCCTAACTCACCCTTCAACTGCCTGTTGCTCTTGTATCAAAGCCTTACAGACCAATAACATCACTCGGTTACTTACCCGATTATTTCCACTAAGTGAATGCACCAATTGTCGGGGGATGTCTTCATCGAACATCTGATCAAAGGATTGAAACATATTCAAGTGAGTTATCAGATGTGTTATGTTAACATGTACTCAACAAATAACATTACATAAGCTAAGATTTCCACTTACATCTCGCCCTTATCAACTTTAACAGCTCAACTGACTAAGTTGAAAAAAATATCCTTAGGCTCTATAGGCCTATTTACTCTTGATTGTGCCTTCAACTCCAACCAAAGAGACTTGATCTTGCTAAATCGAAACCTAGTAAATGTCCTTAGTTGTTGTGCCTCCACAGATACAGGTTCTAGATCAAGCCCAACATATTCAATAATGGCCAGGGGGATACCTCCATCGGTAAGTGACCCTCTGCATCATCACCTTCAACACTGGGTGACACTTTCCTAGGAGGACTGACTGCAGGTATGTCACCCTCTGTATCATTACCTACAATGCTGCCTAGCACTTTCATGTGGAAACTGGCTGCGGGTATGTCACCCTCCCTATCATAACCTTCAATATTAGGTGGCACTTCCATAGGAGAACTAGTTATGGGTGTTGTACTCTCCATCACAAGTGGTTATGTGTCATCACCCTCTCCATCACCCTTGTGTTCCATGCCCCCTTCGCTCATGTCATCATTATCCCCTTGACCCTCTTCCTCCATCTCTTTATTCTCACTGTGATCCTCCGTGTCATCCTTCTTATGACTATCTCCATCTTCACTACCTACTTCATCCTTCTCCTTTTCCTCAGTTGTGTCATCATTGTTGCGCCTGTCCTCCTTATCATCTTTAGACCCACTGATAATTGTAGGTATTGTCTCAACTTGAGCCTTTCTTCTTGATTTATCTTTCCCACTATCTCCCTATCTTGGGATTTGCACCTTCATCAGCTTCTCATCCACCATTTTCATCAGCATCTTTTGCCCTTCCTCTATCCTCTTCATTAAGCGCTCGCGTAATTTCTTCAACTCCTACATACAAAAGACATTTATTAACTAAGTATACAGAATAACAAGTTCACTATGGGAAACACCTTCACTATGGCATATGACAAGTTCATTATACAGAATGACAACTTTAGTAAACCAAATCACAACTCACGTATGGCAGATGACAAGTTCGTTATACCGAATGACAAGTTCTGTATACAAAATCACAACTCGCGTATGCCTAATGACAACTTCACTATGGGAAATCACAAGTTTACTTTTGCGAATGACAAGTTCAGTAAACAAAATCGCAACTCAGGTATGGTAGATAACAAGTTCATTATACGGGATGACATGTTCAGTAAACTAAATCATAACTCACGTATGGCAGATGACAAGTTCATTATACCAAATGACAAGTTCAGTATACAAAATCACAACTCACATATGTCAAATGAAAACTTCACTATGGGAAATCACAAGTTTACTTTTGCAAATGATAAGTTCAGTAAACAAAATCACAACTCAGGTATGGCACTTGGCAGGTTCACAATGACAAATGATAGGTTCACAATTTCAGTATACCTAATGACAAGCTCAATATGGCCAATCATAACATAAGTATTGTGAATAACAACTTGAGTTTGCCAAATTACAACTTAACAATAACAAAGCTCTATGTCACTGAAGCGAATCAGAACTTCAATATAGAAAATGACAACTTAACTATGGCAGATAAGAAGTACAGGTTACAAAATAAAAACTTTAGTTTACCAATTATACCACATACCAGGTCCAAAAACTCTACAATTATCCTCTCTTCTTTCCCTATCACAGCTTCACCACCTTTTTCTCCATACATAATTCCTCTAACACTCTTCCTCTTCTTGCTGGCCAATTCTTTTATCTTCTCAGTAGTCTAATATTCAATTGCAACAGTGGACTCTTGACCAACAGGCATGTTGAGGTTAAAATGCTCACAAAAAAAATGCTACAAGCCAGGCACATATATACAACATTAATGTCATGCACAATAGTACTCAAATGCAAACACATCAAGAAACAAAATAGTAATATCAGAAGCAAGTATATGCAGCCACCACCAGTGTTGCTCCCCTGCCCTTCATTGCCTTACCTATACCCTTTGACATAGTCTCCCATTTCTTTCCAAAGGTCCTCTATAATATAGGCAGCTCAATCATACTTTCCAAAGTCATCTATTCTGCAATACATGACTCTGACAAACTTTTCACTCACTTCTGAGCTTGATTTCAGACATAGAAAACTACCCAGCATGTACAGCATAAATAAAAACTCAAATCTGTGATCCTCCTCCCATGAAGTAATGTCTTTTAGTATTTTATTGAATGACACTTTCTAATATTCATTTCTCAACTCCTGATACATAGTATCACCCTCATCAACCTTCGTTTTCAACTCCTCTATACCTTGACGGATTCCTAGCGACTGCTCAACATCTTGTGCTCCTATTTTCTCTGATTTTCCCTTGATTGTAATTTGATGCATTGGCAGGTCATATAATCTCAGTATGGTCACAATGAGATCACAGTGTAGTCTCTTTAATCCAACTTTCACCAACCTCTCAAAGCCCATCCTCTCAACCCTCTCCCTTAAGTCTTCATTATTATTCATAAAGTGCAGTAATTTTCTTAAACCCTTCAGGGACACTTGGGTTAGAAATGATGGGACATGTTTCTTTTTCTCTTCTCCCTTTTATGGCCTTCTTTTCTTTGCCTCCTCAGTGTACCTCATCTTTTCTTCAGTGGACAGAGTCTTCCATGCATTTAACGCAACATCACTTTTCTGTTTGGCTGTCATGTCAGGGTCAACTATTGTGGCCATAAACTCACTTCTGAATAACAACCAACTGTTGTGTGCCTTTTTTGATCCAGAGGCTCCTTCTGATGCCATCTTTCGTTTCCTGCAAAACATTCAATATACAATCCTTCACAACTACATTTACTAACTAACTATCACCTCTGTTAACAACCTATTCTGTAACCAACGGCCTTCTTACATCACCACTACTGACTTCTTATTTTGAAACATGAACTTGTAATTTCATATAAACAAGTTGTCAATTTCTCAAAATAAACTTGTTATTCTCAACTACTTCTCATGCTTGTTATTTCTCACTATTAACTTGTCATTTACAATTATTAACTAGTTATTTCATATTGTAAAGTTCTTTAATTGTCATACTTGCCTTTGTTATTCTCTACTTGTCATTGTCATTTTTAAACTTGTTATTTCCTATTGTTAACTTGTAAGGAAGCCATGGCAACCTTCTTATTCCCAACTACTCAATAACTTGTTATTCATGATATTAAACTTGTTATTTCCTACTACCAACTTTTAATTACATAATTGTTATTTTACATTATCAACTTGTCAACCCCTACTTCTAACACTTTAACATCTCTTCAAATCAATTAATAGTTAGCCAATTCAATTTGCACTTTACCCATTCCCGTGTCGTCATTTCCCAAACTAATCTTGTCATCCTCCTAATTAATCTTCTCATTCCCTTCCCACCCAAACCCATTTGCACATCTTCTTCCATAGATAAGCATTTTTCGCCAATCAATCATAACTTACTCGACAGAAAAACATATATATACTTTCCTGCCCTAAACGCATTCCCTCTCCTTAATGTATCACATATGTAGCAACTAACACAAACAAACCAAAGGTTCAAACTTACCACTACAATTTGTCGCCGAATGCTGCTGTTAACTTTGATAGCCACACATGATTGTGACGATGCCTCTACCTCCTCCCTTGCCTTTGACAATACCGATAGATCACTACTCCAGCACTACTCTGTTCTCCTCTCCCACAGCAGATACACTCTTTTCTCACACTATACTCCTCTCGCTACAAAATGGAAGCAAACTCCTACGTGAAAATGGACAGAGTATAGAGAATGGTCAAGGGAATACAGAGCAAAGGGAAGTTATCACGCGTTAGGGAGGGGGAGAGCGCAAATATTTTTTTTTCCAAATGAGCGAGGGTCATTTCAAACATTTAACACACATTTCATAATTGCAATTTGGGACCATGTCCTTTACAGCTATTTTATATATTGGGGGTCTTTATTTACAATTTTTCCTACAATTTTTGGAACTGTTATTTAAACATATATTTTTGGAAAAATTAATCTTTTAGTCCTTATAGTTTTAGCACATTTGTAACTTAGTCCCTATATTTTGAGTTGATACAACTTAGTCCTTATAATTTTGACTCGATTATAACTCAGTCCCTAAGGTTTGACTTGCTACAACTCGGCTCCTATAGTTTTACCTATTTTATAATTCAGTCCTTGTGTTTTTAAAAAAATAAAATTGTATATCTAATAAAAGGAAGAACTAAATTATAAAATGGTTAAAAGTATAGGGACTGAGTTACAACGAGTCAAACTCGAGGGATTGAATTTCAACCAAGTCAAAACTATAGGGACTGAGTTACACCGAGTCAAAGTATAAATACTGAGTTACAAATGAATGAAAACTATAGGGACCAAGAGATTAATTTTTCTTATATTTTTTTATTTTTTGTTTTCAAGACTTGTTTTAAAAAACAATTTTATAAAATTGTTTTAGGAAAAAAAAACACTAAACAAAAACAAACAGGCCCTATATTACTTGTAAAAAGCAATGTAGTTTTTATGTATTACATCATTGATTGGACTATGTTATATACCACCCTAGATCATAATTAAATGTCTTTATATGAAAATTAAAAGGGTTTTTTTATCATTAAAATTGCAATTACTCTTTAATTTGTTTAATTTTCATGGACTTGTAATGCTACTTGAACTTGAATTGCATTATAGGTACATTGCAAGGTGAAGATTGGAGATGCAAAGGCCCAAGTGATTTCAACCTTTTGTTTTACCCTTGGAAGTTAAATTTAAAGATTATCCAAGGATTGCACTATAGGGTGCAATCCCAGGTCGTTCACTTAAGTAGAGCCTTAAACGAATGGACTTAAATTAACTATATGCCATGAAATGTAAACTGATTGGGAAAAAAGGATTTTCATTTGTAACTATGAATTGAATTAAATTAAAATGTAAAAGTATTTTTTTGGTTTTTGGGAGATTAAAAATGAAATGATAGAAAACAAGTGTTTAAACAGTGATAGAAACCTCTTGAAAGTGAACTTAGGCTATCATAGTTCAAAATTGATTTTAATGGGAGTAAAACTTCACTAAGTTCCTGAAGGGAGAACCTCAAAATACTCTTTAAGTCTAGGATCTTATTCAATGGCACCCCATTTCATAGGATCCTATTAAGTGTACTTAGTGTGTGTGGTAGGATTAGCTAATGCAATTCAAAATCAGCTCAATATCAAAACACAACCATGCAAGATAAGAGAGAATCACGAGGATTACAATGGAACATATATGTAACTTCATATATATATAAGCATAGAAATTCTACATTAACCAATCCAACTACACATAATGAATATCCAAAGCTGATTATAACCATAATCAAATAGCTTAGCTATAAATTACAAACCCTAAACTTAGGAAATCATAAATCTATAACTAAACCATAGATTAAGCTACTCCCCTTTTATGCTCCTTAAACTCAAGCCATTTTTATACCTTCAAGAGGAAAAGAAATGCCTAGCCACACATTGAGCTTTGAAACTTCACCAGTGGAAATGAATCTAAGCTGCCCATGGTGGAGGTTTTGACAGTGGAAATGGAGGAGAGTTAGGGTTAGATGAAATAAAGTGAGAGAGAGTGAGAGATGGAGGTTGTGTAATGAATAAATGACGCCACTTACCCAAAATAGGGTTTCTAATTTGGTCATAGGGTGAATTGGGTCAGTTTCCATGAGTAGGTAAGTAAATTTTTCAAAAAAGGTTCAGATCTAGGTTACTGATTCGAAGGTTTCGTCGTGGCGAACCATTCCTGCGAGGTGTTTTGCTTGATTTGGTGACTTAGCCACGGTGAACTTTGCCTGAGAGGTCTCTAATGAAATCCTCAAGTTGCACCATGGTGAAGTATAGCTTTCACCATGGCGAACTCTTCCAGTGCTAATACTCTTGATCTTGTGTGTTGTAATCTGTTGGTCTTCACATCTTGACTCTACTTTTTGATTGTCCTGCAATGAAAAGCAATAGTTTGAAGTATCAATTGTCCTAGAAGTCAATTGAATGCAATTAATAACTAATTATGATAATTTTACCCTCAAATGACACTAATTCAAAACAAAGACTCTCAATCTCAATTAAGCACAAATATCACTGAAAGGAGCCAAAAAGTATAACAAAAACCTTGAAAATATTATCAAATAATGAAAAAAATTTGTGCTCAATCACCAAGCAAGGGATAATATGGCCATACCATAAATACATCCATACATTGCTCAAGAAAATCAGAGAAAATGGAAAACATACAATGCTGAAATGTACTAAGAACATTACATAAACCAAATAGCATCGTCATATCCTAATAATTATAACTTAAAAGATGAGAAACTTAGAATTGACCGAAGGCTAGGTAGTGTAGTAGAGACAAAGACGAAACAAGTTTTGAAGTGAAACCCAGGTAAGGACTGAACTATCATTTTGAAAAGTTTCAGTCAAAGAAGGGTAAAATTGGAAATTATGCCCAAAATTTCTAAAAATTGTCAAAATTTTATGAAAAATAGAATAAATAGTCTAGAACAGTATTTGACACCTAAAATATCAAAACAAAATAAAAATAATTTCTTTTAAAATTTTTTGTAATTATTGGTATATTTGGCTAATTAAGGAAAACTTGGCTAAAATGAATTATTCCAAATATGCAGAGGTCTCAATAATTCATACAAAATATTACAGATTGTAAAATTATTCCTGACATCTGGAAGTGAAAAGGTTAACTTTAAAAATATCTAAAGCTGAATTTTATTGGTAAAAGGCTGATTTTGAGAAAAATTAAACAAAAAGAATTACAAGTCAAATTTTGTCCTAAGAAAAATTAGTGAACTTATCCTCATTAAAGAGAAGTCATTGGTATAGAGAAATAAATTTTAAGTACTGAATTTGACATGATCTAGAAAAAATTTAACTGATATTGAGAGATTATGCACTAGAATAACCTGAACCTTGGTGAAATAAATTTTCTCCCAATTTTTCTGCTAATTATGGCTTCAAAATGGTAAGGGGGATATGAACAGAATTATACAATTTGTCTAAGGACAAAATTGCAAGTAGATAAATTATAATAAAATATTGTTTTATATTCACATGGTTAATAAGTGGCATGTTATGTGGCATGATCATGGAGGGCAAGACAACATTAAAGAACAAGTATAGAAAGGAATTATAACATTTCATCATGGACAAAATAAGAAATCTAAGCCAAAAATTTGTCTATAAATACCCCTATAAATCTCATACCAAAAAAGAGAAATTGGAGGGGGAAGGTTTTGCCCTTGAATTTGATAAAAAGGAAGAGGAAGAAGGAAGAACAAAGATCAAGTATCATTAAGCAATCGTCCAAGGTAAGTTAAAGTACTCATTAAGAATTTAATTACCTTGATTAGTACATAATTTTGAATTGATTTGGATGGTTGAAAATGGCTAAAACC